ACTTAATCCGAATTCGAATTAAATTTTTGGTATATTCACAACTATGTGTTTAATTTATTAATCACTAAAATTAAAGAACTTCTGGATGGTAAGACATCTTAGGTAGGATCCCCTAAGGTATGACAGATTGGTGGATTGACATAAATAATGTATCTAAATTTTAGGTCGGAGCTATGTAGCACGACCCTAGGCTTAATCTACTCCCCTGAGTTAAAAACACTCAATGGAGGGTGTGCACACTTAAGGATTAAGACCTTTTGGTGGTTACACTCGTTCAGGGTGGTAGACTCAAATCTACAATTTGGTGGTGACATTATTTATTGTATTTTCCTTCCAAGAAATTAAATAATTGTACCTATTAATATAGAAAATGTGTTTAAGCTGTTTGTGTACAAATTCTTAAACTATATGTATTCTTCCATAATAAAGAAAGATTTATTTTTAAATCGTTTTACAGGGTGGAGTAGTACTTACTTAGTTGTCACAGACTTTGTTATTTCGTCCTTGTATATGTACCTTGAATTTTAGGTTTATGTGGTTCAACATGAGAGATTGATCTGCCGAGATCATATGGGTCATATTAGTAATAATGTAATAGAATTGAGAAATTTTATATAATGACTGGCTTGAGACATTATTGTAGCTCCTTTAAAGGTTATGACTTAAATGTGACAATAATAGACTTAAATTTTTATGTCTCTACTAACGCTCTTAAAAGAGTCGGAAATTGGGGGTGTTACAATAATAAAGCAAACTAATAGTACTCGTAGCCTCATGAGATTAAACAATTGAGAGTAGTACCTTAAAAAGAGGACATTCTTTTTTAATATCACCATATGTGACTATCATCTATCAATCTATCACTAGTTCATTACTAATCGTCTCACTTATGTACGTAGGTATTTAAGTCATCGATAATTATTCAATTTAAATTTGGCTTCAAGATAAATATTACACAAGAATTGATTGAATGAAAAAACTAATTCTTCGCATTTTGTAATAATTAACCATGCAATATGAGAAATGACTTGATATCGACCCAATAATAATTTAAGGTAAAAGTTCAATAATTACTTTAGTTTAAAAATGACCTTATTTGGATATTGAATTTGGTCAACTCGACTAAAATCTAGACAAACACGAAAAATACTGAATCAACTTTATCTTAGTAATTGAACTTGACCGAACCGAAATCATCCAAGCCGAAATCAATCTGACCCAAATTCATCCAACCTGAAATTAACCCGGTCAAACCCGTTATGAACCAGATTCGAATTTATTCAAGCCGAACTTGAACCGATCTGGAGCTGACCCGACCTATATCCGACTCGGACTCGATAGACCATAACACGAATTTGACCCGACTCGACCCATTCCGAGTTAAAAGAATAATTTTGACCCGAACATATCTGACCCGAACAGACCCAACCCGAATAGACTTGACCCAAACTCCATCCAGTTGTTTGAATTAACACCTCTAATCACAATTAGCTTTCACTTTCATACATCTCAACCATTTGCAATCAACTTTATAATACTCCGTACAGTTTACCTAAAATGTTACTTACAATTTATTTACCTTAGTTTATTATAGTTGTAAATTGAATTTTTAATAGCCTATATTGAATTATTGATCTTTGATGGCATAATTTAGTCTAATTTATCTAAACTTTTACAAAGTAAAGTACTAATCCTTCAATCAAAAACATAACAACAATAGTTATAAAATAGAATTATTGATAGCCAATATTGATCCTAGATTATATTTAGTAGAACTTATCAACTTTTACAAAGTAAAGTACTATCCTTTTATCTGACATGACCAACAACTTGATCTGAAAATGACCAACAACTAATTGAGGTCAATGGAAATAATATTTTTTTTAAAGTATGCTAAACCTGATTTAGTCATACAAATTGGATATAAAACTCTATTTACAAGGCATACAATTAGTTATTGATAGGGGTGGGACTTCGGTCTGGCGGTTCGGTTTGAGTCGGTTTCGGTTTGGAGCGGTTCGGATTGAAACGGTTTAGTTTAGCTGGCGGGTCGGTTTGGTTCGGTTTGGGTTAGTCACGGCTCGGTTTGGTTTCGGTTTATTTCTTTGCGGTTTAAATTCGGTTTGGGTCATAAGCGGGTCGGTTTATAAACGATTCGGATTATGTCGGTTCGATTTGATACGGGTCGGTTTAAGGGGCGGGTTTACCCGGGTCAATGTCAGTTCGGTTTACAAACGGTTTGGATCAAGCCGGTTTGGTTTGAAATGGGTCGGTTTAGGGGCGGATTTACCCGGGTCAATATCGGTTCGGTTTATAAACGGTGCGAATCATGTCGGTTCAGTTTGAAATGGGCCGGTTTAGTAGAGGGTTTACACAGTTCAATTGGTTCGGTTTATGAACGGTTTGGATCATGTCGGTTCGGTTTATAAGCGGTTTGGGTCATGAATTCATGATTGTTTTAAAGATCGCGTCATGACCATGATTTAATGAGTTGATACTTATAATATGATAAATCGAGAATTAAGAATGTATAAGTATTCAATTAGATTGATCAACAAGTGTTTTAAACTTTTAAGTTTTAATAATCAGATATGTAAATATGTTTATCGATTGTAGTACATACCAATAATTCAATGAGACAATGATACTTATGATAGTATGATAATGATACCAACCGTACATTCGTACGATATGATATACATAATAATTAATCTATAATTACATATACATTAACAATATCGTATTGAATCAATTTCCATTTCCAAACATTGCATTTCTTATAAATTATAACTTACACGAGATTAAATGGATTCGTTATTTAGTTTGTTACTTTATTTAGATTACTAACTCAAACAACTTAATAAGTTAAATGGACGAAATCACGAAATCACTAATTAAAGTGGTGATGAAATCATTATGCAATACTAATGTACAATTACAGATTTGGGATGCCTCCGTATTTATTAAAATTCTTTTACTTAATATCTGGTTTAATTTAAGAAAAGCTAAAAAAATGTGTTTTATAAACATTTTAGTCCTCCCCTTTGCAAAATACTTGTATAAGAAAGTTTTATAAAGTGATAATGTGAATGATTGTACGCCTTATTTACTAGTACAGTAATATTCTAATGCTTATGCCACTTGTGTAACGCAATCTCATACATCTCCAATCTTATGTTACCTTTGAGGCTTTGAGTGTTATTGGATGATCATGAATATCAAGGAACAATGAAGATAATTTGGGTGGACTAGCATTATTACTGGAATGAAAATGATACAAATGATATATCTTGTAATTAAAATAAATAAGTAATCTAAAACGATATTAATAATGCCGTTGGCCTAGATCTAGGTGATATAAACCTTTGTATAAACCTAAGCCGTTTGATTAGATCTACATTTATTAACATTAATTGTATTTACTATTTAGCCATTTAGGTTGTAAATAATTCAATTTGAATTAAACAGTTTGTAATCGGATCAGTTTAAACAGGTTGCGATTCGAAAACAGTTCGATTGTAACGGTTTAACGGGTTATGGCAGTTTAGTTTAGACGGTTAGCGGATTATAACGGTTAGGTTTATACGTGCGGTTTAAACGGTTTCGGTTCATAAACGGGTCGGTTTAAACGGTTAGCGGGTTACAAATGGTTCGGTTCAAACGGTTTTTTTTCGGTTTAAACGGTTTCGGTTTATAAACGGTTCGGGTCATTAACGGGTTTATAAACCATTCGGTTCGGTTTCGTTTCGGTTCGGATTTGCACAGTTTGGTTTGTTATCGGTTTACGGTCCGTAACGGGTTGACATTGAGCGGTTCAATTCGGTTTCGGTTTGATATTGAACGGTTCAGTTCGGTTTTCGGTTTATATTTATCGGTTTATAAACGGATCGATCCGTGATGGTTCGGTTCGGTAACGGGCGGTTTCACGGTTCGGTTTGAAACGTCCCACCCCTAGTTATTGATGTCTAACAATTCACCATTTATATGACAAATAAAGTCTATAAAAGCATAACTGTGATGGGTCATGACTCATGATACTGTTTTCATTGGTATGTAAGTACAAATTATGGTATCATATAGCCGTTATAGGGCCTATAGTTTTGGAAGTGGCCCTAAACAATTTTAGCCAGATTAAGTAATTGACCTTTTATTTAAAGGTCATAGACCTTAAACCAATAGAAATTGAAAAAATAAATTATAGACTGGCACCAACTACTGAAAAATAAGTCCACTGTGCTACTGTCCCACCACAGTTGTTAGTCACTGTTAATCACTTTAGCATCTTTTCAGTGCCCTCTAAAAATGGGAAGGTAAAATTAAGGTTTTTCTCACCTGGATAAAAAGGAAATACTACGTAGATTTTGATTTTCTTTTTCCTACCGTATGTTCTTTCTTGGAAACTGTACCTTTAAATATTACAGTACTCGTAGACTACATAAACGCACTTCTTCCATTTTTTTAGATACATCATTTGCAAAAACATGAACTCTTAAATATTTTTTTGGAGATGAGAAAGATAGAGAGAAAAGCATAGGTTAAAAAATTAGTCCACGGCGGGATATAAATTTCATCCCTATATTACTCTGTTTGAGTTACTTTCAACATTTAATGCAAAAAATGAAGATGATACCTTCAGTAATTTTTTTTGATATTTGAGAGAGTTTCTATTTTACTCATTGATCTTTAACAAAGGAAAAAAAAATCCAAATAACTTGTCAAATTGCATCAACCACACTAATACCAGAAATTCATGAAGTTGTTTAAGTCAAAAATCTTCAACACTTTCCACGGAGTTTATTTCAACCAATTAAACTTTCAAGGGTATTCCACACTCCTTGAGTGTGAGGATTAAGCACAAGCACTGCAAATCAGTAATTACGTACCTATTGATCTCTACACACGACGATTCATTATAATTTTAACACCGAAGAATACTCGTGTTTAATTTACTTCAAGAAGTGCCAATGCATGAATCAAAGTTCAAAGATTTACACCAAGCATATCCATAATACTCGTGTGTCTAATTTAATCAAACAACTCATTGGCAAAAATCCTGAATTCAGAGGCTAATGTACAACTTTAGTTATTCACAAGCAAGCAACAATCTTCACGAGGAGGTAAAAAGGATGTAACGAAACAAGTAGAAGAGGAAGTATTGAAATCCAAATCCTTTTGAGTTAATGCTATCAGCCAGAAGCCAAACATCATAACCTCGTATCACAAGTCACCGACTCACTGCAATCTTAGTGTCATTTCGTTCTACTCGTTTTAAATACAAAGATAATCACGAACATCCCAGAGATGCCAATATCTTGTCAAAACCGTCAAGCGCTGTTGTAATAATGTAATAGGGAAACATTCTATGCTACGACAATCACAAGTCACAACATTGCCTTTTTCACAGATTTCATGGGTAATCGGCGTGTTTATAATACGGAGTGAGTATGGTTTACCACACTGCATATAATTAGGCACACATGAGATATGAGAACTGAAATTTCATATTCTAAGCAGGTATTACTTAGATATGATAAGCGTTGTCAAAAAGGATTTCTGATTGAAGAGAAGAATAATTTTCAAGCAGATGATAACACCATATTCGGGAAACGCAAATGATCTTTTCTCAAATAGAAGATACACGAGAATGATGTTGAAGCTATATACAAAGATAAAATATGTAATAATACCTTTAATCAGATACACAATGCACCCATATCAGGCAAATTACTGTTTGACCCACAGGAACCTGCTTTGGTAATTGGTATGACCTTCTTCCTTTGCTTCATCCTTTTACCCCTTCTAGCATGAACTTCGTTGTCACTGATGACACCATTGAAATAATTAGGATTAAAAATAAGAGGCATCAGCTGGATAAATTTCTTCATTAAAATAGATGCTACAGCGGCTGCACCTCAAAAGCATGCAGCAAAAATTTAAGAAGAAAGTGTTCTCATTTGAAACAAGAACCTCAAGGTCATCATAAAGTTCTGCAACCAACCATCCCACTACCCTAGGTAAGATTACCTACATAAATTCCTGATGCGCGAATAGCTTTGAAGTTTATAAAATAAAGTTTTGAATTAAATTGTACTTCCCCAGCTCTTAGCAACGTCTATAGAATATACTTAACTTCCCTGGGTCTTAGCAACTTGAAACATGCTAACTCCCCTTACCCTAACTAAGAGCTGGGGAAGATTATTCTATGTCTATAGAATAAAAAGAAAAAACTCCATCAGCTCTTAGCAACTCAAAAATGCTACCTTCCTGTTAAGAATAGGACACTAGACTAAGGCAATATACTTGAATTTCTGACAGCTAGGAAAGATTAACACATGGCAAAACCAGCATAAAGCAGATTGAATTAAATAGCACAATGCACAGGATTTTTGAAAAGAGCATACACTACAACTTTAGAACAGGTTTTTCCAGAAGCTGCTCCACAACACGCCTTATGTTTTTTCTTTGATCCACAAGGGCAAACCTTATTATTAGGAATTTTCTGCAATTGTCAAAGAAAACTGTCAACAAACTGAAAACACATCCTAAGAGAATCATATAGTATAAGAAACAGAACGTGTTCTAACTGCAATTTGAGATAGGGAAGTAAGCATGATTTGACCAACCCACCCCACTTTTCGGAAAAAGGAGGGACTAGGGAAGGGGAAGGGGAAATAGAGTAGAATAGAAGAGAATAGATAGAGCACCTTGTCAACCTTGCTAGATGTTTTGGAACTATCAACAGCTTCAATGTCAGTTGAATGTTCTTGTATCTCTAAAGGAACTATGTTTTCCACATGGTTATTAGATTTTGTCTTTGCATCTTCGTCTGGATGTATAGGGAAGATGGAAACAAAATTAGAAAAGTAGAATATGGAAGCAAAAAGATACTTAGAATAAATTGAATCCACAATGACAAAAATCTTTGTGGCAGCAAAATATACACTAATATACTATGGCTAAGTCGTTCCTAGTATCCCCTGGACAGGATGTTTTGGTGCCCTTCACAAGGTTCAGATATATTTGCTGCAATTCTGTTCGTAAATCTAACAGACTCCTACAGAAGGCCGAGTCCTAGATTATTAGTAGTGGAAATTCTTGCCTAGGAATCCCCAGTGATAACACTCTGAGAGCTTTGTGGTCTATGTAACTGTCATATGCTCAGCTACCCAACACTCTACCAGAACATAAGACCAAGTGTTTAAAGACACAAATTATCAGGTTGTGGCATTGCTTTGATATCTGTTATATCCTACAAGTATCAACCATTACCAATTTTATCTTTTTCATGACAAACACCATTTTCCTTTAATGTTTCTCCAGCTTCTTGTTCTGCTATCAAGAACTCAGTTGCAGCATCAACATCACCATCCACTTGCAATAAAACCTGCAGGATTTTGAATTAAAAAAGTGCATGTTACTTGAAGTCCCATTACAATATAATCCCCAAGTAATGTGACATTCAAGATTTGCAGGCTCAATGATTGCAACATAGGTAATCATCACTAAGCCAGAAAATTGGTTTATGAAAGTTCCACTACAGAAATGAATAGAGGAATCTAATCCCCATACCACTTAATCATGTTCAAATTCAAAACATCAGACCCAATTTCAACCTTGTCATTAATGCTCCTAGGTTTTTAGAATTTTAAATGCACTACCATATATTCTTACAAAAATGTTAGCTAAAATGATGAGAAGAAAATCATAATGTCAGCTGAACAAAAAAAATAAAATGCATTTTAAAATGTGTATTACCTGCTCAACCTTTTCAGCATCATCACAACCACTGCCTGCCATGACCATTTTAAGGGCCCCTTCGTAAACAACATATTTTAAATGTTTTGCTTTTGATTGACTGCCTGCAGATTTTGGTTGTTGTGCACTTGCTGTAAGATTATCATCAGCCTATTTAAGTAACAAAAAAAAAAAGAAAACACATTTTGTCCTCAGCAGAGCGCTAAATTATAAAATTTCAAAACATTTAAAGGGCCAACAGACTTTGAAATTTTTTTTTTTTTTTTTTTGGGGGGGGGGGGGGGCGGGGGGGACCTTAATCACGATAGGTTTAGCAGGTCCGCAGCTCTGATCTTCCTTTAATCTTAAGCTGTTGTAGTGCTCTCCGTCGTGATAAGACCTACATAATTAATGTAGGCCATGTTGGTGAATATCATCAAAAGGTCATCAAGTCTGTTTACAATTATACTGCAAGTGAAACAAGACGACACCACTATTTCAAAATACTTTACTAACAAAGTGAATTGTAAGGAAATGAAAGTGGCTGGTACATAAAATCAACAAGTACCCCATGTTTTCTTCTCTAATAATTCATTTTAGGAGGAGAGTGTGTCAAGGGAAGACTGTACAAAGTAGATTGGACAGAATAAAACCCACATGTCCTCTATTGAACCTGGCTTTTGAGAAACAAGTTGAAATATTAGTTTGTGTGCGTGTGTGTGTGCTATAAGGGAAAATAGGGCTTCTCTCCCATCCTGTAAATCTGCACATGAGTTGGGATTGGTCTGACGAGATCATCCCAGTTCGTAATAATAAGAATCTAATGGAGTTTGGTCGATTCCGAAGCTTTCACAGATATTGGTATTTCTCTGCAAAATAGATGAAATTCGATTGAAGGGTTAAGTCCTCTTACTCATCTATGCATCTTGGAACCCTTGGAGGTAGGTTGGATGGTGGAGTAACTACTTTTATGTTTTCTAATGGTGGAACAGGACAGGTATTAGTTTTCTCCAAAGACAGCCATGTACTGCTTATGTGCCTAAGTCACAGATGCAGTGTTAAAGATTTCACTTCAATCCAATTATTTTCTAAAAACAGGAGCCTTCATGTCTATGATTTATCCAGAGGGTGTAAATGTTAGAGTGGTGTGGTGTACTATCCAATGCATAAATTTGTGTCCCAAATTTGGAGCAGCGCAAGGAACATATTGAAGGTTTTAATAATATTCCAATTATAGCAGTAGATAATCAACTACACAAAGTACCAGACCACAAGATGACAATTCCCAGGGGGAAAAAAAATTGGGTCCATACCTATAAACATGGAGTGTAAAATTAGATAAAATCACTTACAGATGAATCATGCGTGCCCCCTGGTCATCAAAATTTCGTATGTACCATCGAGGTGACATATGCTGAAATATGATCGCAGTGGAAATGTAATATTCAGTATGGTTGCAGAAATGCAGAGGTAATCTAGAAATGCCATGCAAAACTCCTGCTAATGTACGTATTAAAAATAAACCACAATGTATGTGTGTTAAAAGATTCACCATCACTTTTTGAAGTAAGAGAATGAGAATAAAAGGTTTTCATGGATCAGGAGTTGACAAACAAATATTGTATAATACAGATGAGCATTACCATCGAAGCAGAAAATCAGTCAAAGAAAGCCCACAAATATTTCAATAAGCTAGGAAAAGAATATTCCTGGATACATAGGAAGGCATAGGAAAAAATTCATCTGATTTTAGGGGACTGGGGAAGAAGGAAGGCCTTACACGATGAATACAGATGTTAGTATGAGTCACAAGGGTAGCTGCTTGCAATTCCATATGTCCAGCCCATGTGCCATCCTTTCCCATGGACTGGCAGTATTCATCAAAAGGGACATCATCCTCGATAAATGGCTCAAATAGTTCACGATTTTTCTGTATAAAATTGAACAAAAAGTAAGTACGTCTGATTTGCTCCCAAATGATTATAATGACCATAAACACTCGTCCAGAAAATTTGCTGATTTGGAACTTTTCCAGTCTACAACAAAGTTTCATTGTAGATGATAACAATGGGCTGTATTGGGGAAAGATAACTCTGATTACGCACATGTAACTATATATGCTAGACAACAGCAACACAAAGGAACAATTACAAGCTTTCATCTTTAAGGTCTTCTATAATGCGTCTCAGCAGCATGGCACTGGTGGCTGGTATATGTGATAAAAACAAAATTTGAATTCTCAAATTAATGATGTTATGAATGGAGGGAAAACTACCTACTACAGTTATGTACTTGCATACCTCGATATACTGCACAACCATACGACGATACTTTTCATGTTCCTCTTCATTGCCCTCCAACTGATCAGCCAAAGCCCTGCAAGCTAGATAGGATCATCAACTAGCTTGTTTAGCGAGTGAATTGAAGGGGCTATACATACCAAACAATTATCCCATGCAAATGCCACCCATGAAAATTCAAGAAACTAAGTGACAAATCAACACCAAGAAGCACACCCCCACACAATTACACAAACAATGCATGTTGCAGTTAGAAACAGGGAACCTCCGGTAAACACTGACCTGAAGAAACAATTGCCATCAGCTGTCACTTGGATAATCTTCAAATCCAACAAATCAAGCTGAGCACGGAAGTTAGAGATGTCACCCTGCTTTCCATGCTTTTTGGCCTGGCCACATTACAGATATGAGAATGAGATTTACAAAAATCATGACAATCATAAACAAGTCATTAAATCACCATCAAGGAACACTAACACCCAAATGAACATAAAAACCACTATTTTTTGTAAGCATGACACACAAGTGAAAATGATACTCGTAAAGTATAAATCATGGCCCGTTTGGTTAGCGGTCATAAATCATGGAAATGGTAATGAATTTGTAGGTAAAACAAAAAACAAAAAAAACACGTTCACTACCTTCGTAATAGAACCCATCCCTATACAAGTGAATTTCTTCATGAATTTCCATTACCACTCAATACCACCTTGTGAATGGTAATGGATGGTAATGAAATTTTATGAAGAAAATGAGGTTTTATAAATGACCTCACATTGTAATGACATACAAGTTTTTTTTTTTCACAAACCTAAACACAAATTAATTACCATTCTCAGGATGTATAATTGTCTACCAAATGTTCCGTTAGTTCTTAGGTAAATCACTACAATTCTCCATTTAACTCTAAAAATTTATAAATTAAAGCTCATAGGTAAACAATTTTTTATCATCAATTCAACAAACAAATCCAAAAATACCAATATCCAAGGAGATTTCAGGTGAGAAAAACACAATGCACATCAATATATGTTATCCTCACTCTTCATTACTCCAAAAGTCCAAAACCTAAGGAAATGACACATATATTAGCAACGCCCGACTTTTAGACATACAAACATGTCAAACATAAATATTAGTCTACAATATGGCTAATTAATGGGCTTGTTTGGTTGACATTAAAAAAATACATGGAAAATGAGTTCGTGGGTGTAATTTTTGGTTGACAAAAACACGGGTAAGTGGAAGGTCTCATTTACTTCCCATTATCAAACCAAACACGTTTTTACACTTCCTAGTTCTTGAGAGATCCGATATTTTCTATGTTCAACAAAACGATCACTATGTGTTTCAAAGTACAGTATAAGCTTCCAAGATTGGGGCAACTATACCATAGATCATTACCCCCGATGGATCAATCCTATTCTTCTATATAACACCAGACTAATAGCATAACAAAATTACACAAAATCAAATTAGTTGCAAGCCTTGCAACTATAAATCAGAATATTGGTTCACTAAAATAATAATAATAATAATAATAATAATAATAATAATAATAATAATAATAATAATAATAATAATAATAATAATAATAATAATAATAATAATAATAATAATAATAATAATAATAATAATAATAATAATAATAATAATAATAATAATAATAATAATAATAATAATAATAATAATAATAATAATAAAATAAAAAAATAAAAATAAAAATAAAAACACCCTCAATTTCAGCGGGAAGTGACGGATGATAATTAATTCGAGTACTTGTAAATTTACTAGATTCACTAAAATTGTAAGTACTCGTAATAATAAAGCGAAAAAAGAAACTACGAAGTACTTAACAAACATGAATTTCATTAAATTTGAAAAAAAAAAAATGTTCCATAATAATAAGGGCAAAAAAAATAAAAAAAATAAAATTGCAGCAAAATAAAAAAGGCACGAAATCAGAGCAAGAATTAAAGAAGTAAGCAAGAAATTACTTGTGATAGTTTCTTAGGTTTGGATTTTTTATGCTTGGCTTGAACCATCCTCTCACCGTACGATTTAGCTTAAACTCAATTAGTTTGATTAATTTCCGACGCTTTTTGCAAAGCAACTGAATATCCGACGCTTTTTGCAAAGCAAATTAGCAACTGAGCTCTCTGCTTTCTGCTCTGTTGAATTGAACTAAATTACCAGGGAAGAAGAAAGAGGTAGACGAAGGAGCTATTCAACCTGTTTCAACTAAATTGTTTGGGCTGCTAAGTTAGGGTATAGTGATCTGGGCCTTTTTACTAGTCAGCCCAATACGTTTCTGATTAGGGCTTTGAGAATTATCTTATACGAAGTAATTAATTTGGTTTATGTGAATACTTGGCCCAACATCTCTTGTTATGCTAAGTTTATGGCCTTGTTTGGTTTGGAGAGCTTTTACTTTATTGACCTATTTGTTAGAGGTTTGACCAATATGCCCATGTGGTGTTGGATAACCTTTTAAAATATTTCTTAATATAGTATTAATTTGAAAATGCATCTCAAAATTACGCGTCGATCGGTGTAATTAATGTTTATTTTATATTTCTACTTTTAATTATCTTATCCAACGTCCCCGGGGAGTTCATTAGCTTTTGCCATATAAAAATGTTAATTTGGATATTTGGTAAATAGCTTATTGAAAAAGATTTTATTACAAAAAACAAAAAAAATTTAATTTTTTTTTAATCAAACCTTTTTGTGAAAAAAATAAACTCAAAATAAGAGTTTTTTTTTTATTATTTTGATTAGCTTATTGAATTTTTAAAAGGCAAAAGTTAACGAACGCCCCGGGGGTTGGATAAGATAATTAAAAGTAGAAATATTAACTTAAAATGTACATTAATTACACTGATTTACGCGTGATTTTAGCATGCATTCCCAAATTAATACCTGATTAGGGGATTTTGCTCCCACCAATTGGAATGCGCCACGTGGGTCAATCAGGTCCTACCAAGTGTCCCCCAGTTGGAACTGTCAGGGTTTGCCACGTGGCACACGCCTATTTGTCCACCCTGGACCTATTATGTCATGACACGTGGCTTCCTCCATGCCTAATGGAGAAACCGGCCACCTAGGCCCAACTTCCAAGGGAAGCCCAATCAGCCCTAGGTTAACCTAAACCTAGGATTGACACGTTTCCCAAGGTTATAAATACCTCCCTTAATCCTCATTAAGGGGGATTACGCACATTTAGCACTCTCACCTAGAGAGACCCAATCACTTTTATTTCCGCGTTAATTACTCCTTAATCAAGTACTAACTTGACCGTCGGAGGCGGATCTCCAATCATCCGGAGCATCCGTTTGTTTTGCAGGTACAGGCGTCCGGTTCCAGTCTCGGAATTGTAACTCTCCCGCAGGACATCAGAAAACCCCGAAACATTTTGGCGCCGTCTGTGGGGAGAGTACTTTTGAGATGACATCCACGTCTGTACCGACTCCTGAAGAGAGGCGTCCCCTAGAAGACCCTCAAGTTCAGTCGGACCATGATATTGAGGAAGAATTCGAAGTTGAAGCTCACACTGCTTCAGACGGGACCCTAAGGGCCCGACGCACCCGTCATACCGAAATGAGGGAACGGGAACATCTTCAAACTGGACTCAGTGATCCAGCCGGCGCACCGCCTGTTCAGCAGCAGCCGGCTGATGGGTCTAAACAGCCAGCCCAGAAGAAGAAAAAAGAATTCAAACCATACTCCCTAAAGTATGCGTTTAACAAGGATAGCCAAGCTATCCTAAAGGAAATCAAGGGACGGATCTCAATTGAGAAGTCAGTCCCCATGAAGGGTTCTGCAAGCAACCGGAACCAAGAAAAATTCTGTGATTATCATGAAGATGTTGGTCATCACACCAACGAATGCATCAGTCTCATGCGGTATCTAGACCGCCTGGCTGAGCAAGGCGATCTTGACTCTTATGTCAAGAAATCTACTGGGAACACTTCCTCGAAAAAGCATTCAGCCAAAAAGAGTCAACCGGCCGACAACTCTGATACAGATGATGCAGTCGTCTACACCATTGCAGGCGGCGTTGCAGGAGGCGGTCCCACTATTAGGGGCAACAAAGACAATATCAGGCGGCTAGATGTAAATTCTGTTCACCAAGAACGGCCCCCCAAATATTCATTTCCAGAGATTGTCATCACTGAAGAAGATCTAGGAGGGGTAAGGGGGCCGCATGACGACCCTATCGTTATTGAATGTAAAGTGGCCAACCAGAGAGTTGGCCGAATCCTTATAGATACTGGAAGCTCCTCAAATCTTATCAGTAGCAAATGTCTGTTAAAACTAAAATATCAGACTGATTGCATACATCCGGCATCCCACCCTTTAGTAGGGTTTGGGGGAAGATTCGTCCACCCAGTGGGACGAGTGGATTTACCCATCCGCCTGGGTGAAAAAGGGGAAGGACGACACATGGTAGTCCGGTTCCTGGTAGTAGAAGAACTCTCGGCCTACAACATGATTCTGGGACGACCAACCCTGAATAATTCCAAGGCTGTTATAATCCCATCTCTTATGTTGCTCAAGTTTGAGAGGGATAATGGAACAGTCGGGTCCCTAAGGGGAGATCAGAGGATGGCCCGAGAGTGCTATCTCTCGGATATCAAGCCCACTGTTATGGTCGCTGGGTCAAGTGGTGGAAAAACAGACCTTGACAATGTCAAGAAGAGTGCGCCTGATAAGGAAGCAGGCGACAAGAAGAGAAAGGCAGCCCAGACGGGGGCCGCAAGAAAAGACAGAAAATAGCAATCATTGGCAGAGGAGCGGTCAGATGAATTCCGCCCTCAGCCGGCTGGTGAGCATACGGACTTGATCTTAGAAGACTCACGTCCTGAGAGAACGATCAAAGTTGGGACGACTGCTCTGAGAGTCTTGGGTGACGATTTTCACAAACTACTGAAAGAATACAAGGACATCTTTGCATTCGAAGTCCACGAAATGCCAGGCATTATTCCTGACCTGGCGGTACATAAACTAGCTGTGGATCCGAAAAAGAAGCCGGTAAGGCAGAAGAAACGGAACCATGGCGAAGAAAGAAGTCAGGCGGCAGCCGTCGAAGTTAAAAAACTACTTGATGCAGGGTTCATTCGGCAATGTTACTTCCCAGACTGGGTTGCAAATGTGGTGCTTGTTAAAAAGCCGAATGGCACCTGGCGAATGTGTGTAGACTACACAGACTTAAACAAGGCATGCCCCAAAGACAGTTACCCTCTGCCTAAAATTGATAACCTGGTCGACTCAACAGCCGGCCATGCTTTGATGAGCTTTATGGACGCCTACTCTGGTTTCCATCAAATTCCTTTATGGAAGAAAGATCAGGAGAAGACGTCCTTCGTCACTGATCAAGGGTTATACTGTTACACGGTCATGCCGTTCGGTCTTAAGAATAGCCCGGCCACCTTCCAGCGAATGATAAACACTGTGTTCTTTGATCAGATTGGGAGAAACGTCGAGGCATACATTGATGATATGATTGTCAAGTCTAAGCTTCAGATAGATCATCCGTCGGACCTCCGAGAAACTTTCGCCACACTCAGGCGGCACCATGTCATGCTCAATCCCAAGAAATGTGTATTTGGAGTTGAGTCTGGGAAATTTCTCGGATTCCTTATCGATCAGAGAGGAATAGAGGCGAACCCTGAGAAGGTGCAGACGGTCATCGACATGCAGTCGCCTCGTACCGTCCGAGAGGTTTAGAAGTTAACAGGTTGTCTGGCGGCCTTGGGAAGATTTCTAAGCCGATCAAGCGACAAATGCTTATATTTCTTCCAAGCCATTAAGAAGAAGGCAAGGTTTGAATGGGGGCCGGATGCTGAGGCGGCCTTCCAGAAATTGAAAGTTCACTTGCATTCCTTACCGAGGCTGGTCAGCCCTTTGCCCAAAGAAGTACTCTATATGTACCTGGCCGTCTCTGATCATGCGTTAAGCGCTGTTCTTCTTGCTGAAAGAGACGGTTGTCAGCTACCGGTCTACTTTGTCAGTCATGTACTAAAAAATGCCGAGTTGAGGTATCCTTTAGTGGAGAAATTTGGTCTTGCGCTCTTCATGGCTGTTAAAAAATTGAAGCCCTACTTTTTGGCACATGCAGTCGTCGTGTTACAGATCAACCTATCAAGCGGCCACTGACCACCATGGAGTCGTCAGGCCGGATGATCAAATGGGCCATAGAAATGCAGAGCCTCGAAGTTACTTTCGAGCCTAGAAAAGCAGTGAAGGGGCAAGCCTTTGCTGACTTTATTGTTGAGATGACTCGTCCCCCTAATTCTCGAGATCCAGACCAAGTCTGGAAGGTATATGTGGATGGAAGCTCTACTTCAAATGGTTGTGGAGCAGTCGTCATATGTCAGTCGCCAGAGGGCGACAGGTACAAGTATGCTCTACGCTTCAGTTTTCAGGCCTCAAACAATGAGGCAGAATATGAAGCTTTACTAGCCGGAATCCGCATGTGCAAGGCGGCAGGGGCACGAAAGATAGACGTCTGTTCCGATTCACAATTGATAGTGAGTCAGTATAATGGCGAATACGAAGCAACCCATCCGGCCATGATCAAGTATTTACAGGCGGTACGACAGGCAGTCGGATCCCTTGAAGATTTTCATCTGACTCAAGTGCTGAGATCAGAAAACAACCAGGCGGATGCACTTTCAAAATTAGCATCATCCGCCTCTTGTGATACTCCTCGAACTGTTTTTTGGGAAGTAATGGAGAAGAGAAGCATCGAGGAAGACCCTATTGGAATCCTAGACAGAAGCTCAACCTGGATGGATCCAATCAGGGCATATCTGACAGACGGTACCCTGCCGGATGATCATCACCAGGCGGCAGCGCTGAAAAAACGGGCAGCCAGTTTTGAAATGTTAAAGAGAGAACTTCACAAAAGAGGGTACCTTCAACCCTACTTAAAGTGTGTTACTCCAGAAAAGGGACGAGAGATACTAGACGATCTTCTCTCTGGTTATTGCGCTTCCCATATAGGCGTTAGGTCGCTTGCTAAACGGACAAGGCGGCAGGGCTACTTTTGGCCTACTTTAGAAGCAGATGCAATGAAGATGGTGAAAAAATGTGACAAGTGCCAAAGGTTTGGCAAACTAATTCAACGTCCGGCTACTGACCTCACTACCATTCATAGCCCACTACCATTCATAGCCCACTACTGTTTGCTAAGTGGGGCATGGATA